AGTACTCTCGGTTATACCGAGGGGAAGCTAAGAGTCGGTCCTTCCTGAGTGCTACTACGTGTTGGAAGGTCTAGTACCCTGTCCAAGGGGAACCGTTTCGCATCATTATCTTGCTCCTGTAGTGGGAGTGGGGATGCGGGTAGGTCAAAATGCACAGATGCTTTGATGGAGTTAGGGCATCGAACGGAGACCCTCCATCAGACAACGTGCTCTCCGCCGTTGGCCTGCGCCCGCAGTTTTTCATCTCCGATCAGCCGCGCAAGCGGCACAAGGGGGCTTTAGTGGGTATGGATGCACTCTCCAGCATCGAGTCCCACATCACCGCAGTGCCAGACATTGTGGTATGCGTAAGTGCATTTCCTCCTCGTTCTGTGGGCGCACAGCCAACGTCGGTTGTCGTAAAACGCACACTGAAGAAAAGAAAAAAAAACAACCGGACGTCCCTGGCGATGCCGGCCACCTCACCGTGGTGCCAGGGTCCAGTGCCCCGTCCAGGGGGAAGCCAAGAGCCCGCATTATACTCAGTCGCTGTTGACTGGGGCGGGCGGCAGGCTGTCGACAACCAGAGAGAGAGAGAGCAAGCAGCATCACCGGCACTCTGGGGTGAATGAAAGTGGAAGAACGCTCTCCTGCACGTGCGAACGTGCTCTTTTCATAGTAGTTGCCGGCTCCTTTTTTAACGGAGGCGGGGATATTGATGAATAATGTGGGACTCGATGCTGGAGAGTGCATCCATGCCCACTAAAACCCCCTTGTGCCGCTTGCGCGGCTGATCGGAGATGAAAAACTGCGGGCGCAGGCCAACGGCGGAGAGCACGTTGTCTGATGGAGGGTCTCCGTTCGATGCCCTAACTCCATCAAAGCATCTGTGCATTTTGACCTACCCGCATCCCCACTCCCACTACAGAAGCGAAATTTAATGCGGGATTGGTTCCCCTCGAACAGGGCACTAGACCTTCCAACACGTAGTAGCACTCAGGAAGGACCGACTCTTAGCTTCCCCTCGGTATAACCGAGAGTACGGACCCTGGCACCACGGCGAGGTGGCCGGCATCGCCAGGGGAAAAACGCCGGCATTCCGCCACCCAAAGGCGCAGCGGGTCGCGCGGCCATCTTTGCCCCGGCCATCTTCGCCGCGAGAAAGCCGCCCCCACCGCCTGGCCGGGCAGACTTTGGCGAGGCCCCCCGCATGCCGAAGGGTGCGACGGAGGCCTCCGCCCAGGCCCCCTGCGTGCCACGCGGCGGTTCCCGCCAATTCGATTGCCCGCAGCGGGCTTCCCTTCCCGCTCGGGGGGCGCGGGCCCTGAGCGGCCAAGGGCGCTCCGGCCCTCCGCGCGCCGCCGCCCGCCTCCGGGCACGCGGCCTTCGTGAAAACCCGCCCCCTCCCGCCCGCAGCCTGCAGGGGGCGCAAAAGACCCCCACCGGAAGCGACAACGGCAACGCCCGCGCCGCCGGGGCACGCCCCCGCGGGGATTCCCTCGACTTCTGCCGGGGGGCTGCGGCCGCGTTGGCGCCGGCTTCCTCCAGCCGGCACTCGCGGCCGTATTGCCGCCCACGGCGTCTCTCGCGACCCCACCGCCGGCGAGGAGGGGCCCCCGTCCCTTTGCAGCACCCCGCGGCAGGGGGCGAAGCCCGTTTCTCTTCATGGTCGCCGCGGGCCTCGCTGGCGCGGGGCGCCGAAAGGAGAAGCCGCGCAAAAGCCACCGGCCGCAACATCCTATTGTCCCTGACAAGTGCCTATTCCGCCGCGGCTGGCGCTTGCCAGTGTGCCTTTTGAGCGTGTTTCGCAACGTCTTGCCACGATGCGCAAAACAGCGGCGGCGGCAGGACTGCCTCTTGACAGGGGGAGTGGTTGCAGAGAAGGCGGGGGAAGAAAGAGGTGACACACGAGCTGCGGCGGGCGCAGCGCACCGGGGACTGCCCGCGCGAGACCGCACGCAGCCGCAGGGGCACAACATTGGCAGGGGCGGCCGAGGAAGCCTCC